ATGTACAGTGGAACCTCTGTATAACGGTCACCATTGGGAACTGGTCCTTTGGCTGTTATAGAGGGGTGGTCTTTATTGAGGGGTTTCAGCTTAAAGTGTCGAACTTAAGAAATATTTAACTGTGTTGCCTTCTTAAGTATCTTGATTTATTCCTCAGGTCAATAACAAGTACAAAGGTCCTGAAGGTAGTGTGCAAGAAATAGCAGGGAAATAAGCGAATTACAGCAAGAAAGAAAGGGAATGCTCAAGTTTTCAGCCATTTTATTTAGATGGGTGGGGCTGTAGGTGACGTTTTATGATGAAAACATCCGGTCTAGGTGTTGGGTGTGGCCACATGGCCGTTAAAGAGAAGTTTTTCTCAATGCTTTATGCTGTGTTGGGGACGTTTTGAGTGCTCGTTATACGCAATAGAGAGGTGGTCGTTCTTCAGGGGTTGCCTTAACAGGCAAGTAAGTGTAGTTTGCATCCGGACCTAGACATTTGGCCGTTATATGATAGACGGCCGTTACTTAGAGGTGGTCGTTAAGCGAGGTTCCACTGTACATGTACACGTGACAATTCAATACTATCTTACTAGGGTACAGTACATGTATATACACTTTATCCCCCTTAATATTCATAATAATTATTCTTACATTGTAATCTCAACATACCCTTCCTTTGCTGGGCCACTCTTCACAAAATCCTTCAACTACAAAATAAAACGAGGTGAGGTAATTGTCACATGACACTTGAGTGGAACACTCCCATCTTTTGCTCGTCCAAGGGTAGAGGTATTGCCACAAAGAACAAGACATATGGCACAAACAAGACTTGATTTACCAGTACCTATAATAAATTAATTTAATGAAAAGTTCAAAAATTTGGGTCACACAAAAAAAGATAGCACCGGAAGAGGTGTGGCACACTTACCTAGTTTTAGTTTTGTTATTAGGGTTGAAATTAGGGTGTAGTTTTTATTTAGCCTCACCCCCTTTCCCAGCGCCGTCTTTATGTGATCTGAAAATTTTTGAGTGTCAGTGAGGAGAGAATAAATGAGAGGTGCTCACCGTTTGGTCCAACTATTAAATTGAGTTGAGGTGATGGCTCCAGGACAATAGAGGATATGCGTGGTTGCGTGCTAAGTATATTCATAGCTTTTTAGTACCGTATATCCAACCCACACAGTAAATTGGCCGCCATGTTGGACGTCAAGTTTATTAAGAGTTCAATGGGGGAAAACACATTTTCTTGCCTTGCTACCTTCTTGAGGCCTTTTTCGGAAGCTTAGAAAGCATCCTGAGGATCTAATGGGGTCTAGTAGTCACCTGAAAGATTGCTATCAAGAAATACAGAGCGGTTTCCTGGTACCAAGCCTTTTTCTATCATTTCTCCATTGCTGCCAATGGAAAGTTGAAGTCCAACGAACTAATTTTTTTTCTTGAAAGTTATTACGGTATGCAGGTATGCAATGAATATAATTATTTTGCAATGAATATACTTAGCACGCATATCCTCTATATTATCAAAAGTGCTAGTGTGAGAAAAATGGCATAATATCATCAACTACTTGTTAGCTTAGACTTACAGGGAATAATAAAGTACTAGTTTCCTAATAGCTCCCTGTCTAAAGCCCTAGAAGTCTTGCTTCTGCTAGAGGTACATGAACATGAACTAGCACGTGTACCATATGACGTCATAGAAAGTCACGTGACGAGGAGTACGCCCACGTTTTGCGTGAGTGTACTGTTTGTTCATAAAACTAGAAATCATAATTTTTGCAACTAATGTTGTTGTTTATAGTAGATCTGTTGCTCAATGTAAAGTATAGTTTCATGACAACAAGGTGGCAGCTGCATGTATATACTAGTACTCTTGTTTGTCAACGGTCATTGCTGTACTATAACCAAGAGTACATAACTGATTATAGATCACCAAGTACCAAGCCGTATAGTGTGCCTTGATTCCAACATATCAACCCCATATGGATGTGTAATTGAGAGAATGATGAGGTACACAATCTGAATATTAAGATAATTTAGTTTTTTATGTTAACTGCAGGTGTGCAAACATCATCACCATAATAGGAAATAATACACTGAATTAATGTTAACAATATCTATTCAACCCACAATCCCTCCCTATTGTGCACCTGACCAATCAGAATAGTACAACTGTGGCCGCTGAGGTTTTGTTGGGCCCTAGCAAGATGGAGTACTGCTTCTCTCCTTTGTTAATATTATTGATCATAGTTATACTTTCAAATTGTGAAGGTAAATGTATAGTCATGTATAATACTGGTTTAATGTATGAAATACCATATATCGGGAAATTTTTACATCGTTTTATTTTTACGATTTGCAATAAAATAACATTTTCACTAATATTTTTTTCGCGAATATTATTTTCACAATTGGGCTCTGATCCGGATATCTGCCTGACACATGCTTAAATTTTTGCAAAAATTAAATTATGTGACAAGGAATCAATTCGTGAAATTCGCAAAAATTTTTCAGCGCAAAAATTTCCGGATATACGGTAAACTTAAATCCATGTTCATTTTACAACAATATCTAGTGATGTTTAAGCTTCACTGCCACATAATTCTTAATGTCAGTGGCGGCTGGTATGCATGTATAAGCTTGTACTTGTGTATTTCAAGTTTAAAGTCATTCATATGTCCATGGTACACACTCATCAATAAATCCATAATAGTCGTATGTCATATCAAAATATTAAAATTATGCTTATAACTTTTATACTTTATAGCTACGTGTAATCAAATTGTACCATCAAATGGAAACCCTAGTATTGAAACAAGAGTATCAATTGGTGAATGTGTTGCTTTTCAATGTACACTAAATCATACAGCACAATGGAAACTGAATGGAGCTGATATTAGTAATGATGCTCATTACAATATCAATACTACTAGTGGTACACTGACTATACAAGAAGTGAGGAGCAATGATACTGGAAGCTATACTTGTGGTTCAGGAAGCATTTCTCTACTAATAGTGAAAAGTAAATAATATCCCAATATAATGCAAATTGATCCATTTTAGTACCTGTTATCATTGTTACTGGTCAATACACTAACCTCACTGTTGGTAGTAGTGTCGGTATTAAATGTACTACAATGCCCTCCATCCCTAACAGTGTAATACAATGGGATCCACCATCAAGTAGTGATAATAATGAACTGATCATTAATCCAGTGATGCTCTCTCATAATAACAACACATTCACTTGTGTGGTATCATCAGATTTAGTGTCTATGAGTTTGACAGAGTCTATTACTATTAGTGTATTAGGTTAGTTGATCTTAGAACCTACATTAGTTATTAATATTTATTACAGATACCAGTGTCTCATCTGTTACTGTCCAATCATTATCATCTTATGTTATTGGTGACAATGTATCAATAGTGTGTACTATTAGTCTCACTAATGCTATTGGTCCTGATGTTTCTTCACTTGTAGTGAACTGGTTTAAAAATAATGAAATGATAACAGATAATATCATTAATGGTTCATCATCAACATTTAATAGTATCCTGACATTAAAATTGGTTTCACTAACTGATGCTGGAGTATATACTTGTAATGCATCAATTAATGGATCTGATACAATATTGTCTGATTCAAAGCTTTTGTGTATCGAAGGTACACATTGATGCATAGTCATTAATTTGTTATACTTTTGTTAATTGATCTATAGTTCCTTTTAACCAAGACAATGATAGTTTTAAAGATCTACCACTGGGATATAATGCCACAATAGAGTGTGTGAATCTCTCATCACTCAATGGAATTGCCATAAAATCTATAAACTGGACTGATTTAGATGGTTCTATTATCAGTAACAATAATACACTAATACTACCTAATGTGGTACCATCACTCAACAACACTCAATATACTTGTACTGCAGAAATGGATACCAACCCAGTGACTTGTTTACCAGACAGCAGGACAATTACCATTAATACTAAAAGTATTGTATTTATGAAATTAATATCCTTTTTATTTATATTACTTATACTTATCTATAGAGACATATGTCACCTCAAACATTATTCCAGTTCAACTCCCTTTGCTGATCAATTCATTATTATTCATTGAGTGTTTCATTATTCTTAATGCTCCTGTTGGTCCTGGTATACAGCCCAATGTCACTTGGTATCATGATATAACTGATGTTACACACAATAGTTCATTAACAAGGAACAATGACAGTGTCTTTACGTCAATACTGACTATTAATTCAATACAAGTATCTGATGCTGGAGTATATCATTGTAGTGCTGGGATTGATTCTAATGTAACTACTAACAATATCAATGTATGTGTAACAGGTAATATGTCACAAAATAGTGTATATGCTATTAACATTCTTTGTACAGTTAATGAGACACTACCATCAGTAACTGAAGAACTATCCCTTGGTCAGTATTATTCAATTGATTGTATCACTGGACCAGTACCTACTGGAGTATCAGTATCCTGGCTACTTACTAATGGTTCTATTTATAGTGACAATAATACACTAATGATACCATCAATACTACCATCACATAATAATACACAATATAATTGTAGAATAATGATTAAGAATAATCCTTCTGGCTGTAGTATTCAATCACAGGTCATTACTCTTAGAGTGAAAAGTAAGAGTTCAGGAAATACAATTGTAATTATAAATATGTTGTAGCTACTTATGTTAATTTAGTGACAATAACACCATCTTCAATACTCAGTTTCATTAACTCTACAGTAGTACTGACCTGTACTATCAGTCTTAATACTGGGATAGGTCCTGATACATCATTCATTAGTCATTACTGGTATCAGTATAGGACTGATATTAGTAATAGGAGTACACAACTGATGATTAATGGTGACACTAAAAGTCTAGTAACAACACTGAATATTACTAGTGTTCAATTTTCTGATGCTGGAGTATATCAGTGTAGAGCTAGTATTGATGGTAATGATACTGTTATAAGTAATACAACATATGTTTGTGTTGAAGGTTAGTCTATATAATAAAATCAAATTTTAATAATGTTTTCATTTAGTTCCTGTCATAAATATTTCTTTTGATGCTGATTTAAGACTAGGAGATGTTAGAGAGTATGATTGTACATTAGGTCATAATTATAGACAATCAGAAGTTGTTGTAGCATGGCATGATTATACATCTAATAGAGCATTTATCAATCCTCTCATATTAACAGTGGATCAGTCGATCAACAATACAGTGTATATTTGTACTTTACTAATTATTCAAAATCCAATTAACTGTCCTTTTCAACAAGTGAATGTATCTGTTACAGTGAAAGGTATTGCCAGCAAATAACAT